AGGTGAGCGGCGGGCGGGGAGGGCAGCGGGGCCGGGGCCGGGGTCGTGTCCGGTGTGTGCGGGAGAGGGAGGCTGTCGCGGTCGGGGAGGCTTTGGGAGCAGCCCCTTCGGAGCCCCGAGGAGGGCAGTCGGGGCAGTGCCCCTGGCCAGGGGCTTTGCGTGGAGCAAGCGGGTTGGCGTTCCTGTCTGTGCTGGGCTGGAGTTGCTGTAGGTTCTGGAGAGGATCTTCCATCCGTGGGCACATGCATCCCTGCTCACTGTGATCTCTTTCTTCAGGCGTTTGGGCTGAATTAAAGCTGGTGGAGTCTGGTGGAGGTCTGCGAGCACCTGGAGACTCCGTGCATCTCTCCTGCCAGGGATCTGGATTCAGCTTTGAAGATTATTATGATGTCTTGTGGTACCGTCAGGCACCCGGTGGAAGTCTTGAGTGGTTGTCCTTAATTAGCTATGATGTAGAATACGCTGTAGAATACACTGTAGAATACACTGTAGAATATGGCAAAGCAGTGAAGGGCCGAGCCAGTGTCTCCCGGGACAATTCCCAGTCCAAGTCTTCTCTGTCCCTGAGCTCCCTGGTACCCCAGGACTCAGCCCACTACTTCTGTGCAGTTCGCACAGGGACAGGAAATCCAGCTGAGCTTTAACACAAACCTGCTCCCAGGGCCCCTCAACTTTCCTACATATATTGCTGCCACAGAGGCTACGTATATTGCAGCCTCTTGCTGCTGGAGGATCCACTCCTTCCCACCGCGCTCTCTGCCGTATGCTCACCTCCTCATCCACCAAGGAGTCTGCAGGCCAGTGGAAGCAGGATGGACACTAAGTGCATGTTCTTTTTATTCTATCCGTATCAAGATTTGGTAGGTAAGCTTGATGGTTGGACTTGATGATCTTACAGGTCTTTTCTAGCCTTAATGATTCTACGGTTCTGTGATTTCCATGCACGTCACCAGCTGGGAATGCAGGCTGATTGTGAATGACTATAGCATCTCATGATAGCATCATGCACACAGGTCCACATTCCTCTTGGTCTCTGTCTAGAGCAAAAATTCTTTTCCTACACCTTATGGAAGGCTGCCATGTGTGGGTGTGCAGCCCACTGCCTCCTGGGACAGTTTCTAGGTGTTGAAATGCATTGTCCTGCATGCCCTGCATGCCCAGGACTGCACTTGCTGCTTTTGTGCTGCCTCTGTGGGGATAGAAAGCTGAAGTGTTCCCTGACATGAACCTCCTACTGGGGCTTCTCACCCTCTCCATGTTCACTCACATGTCCCAGCAAAGGGGCCAGCCAGGATGTGGGCTAGGACAGATTGCAGCTTTGCCTGTGCTGCCAGAACATGATGCACCAGTAGAGGGGTGTCCAGGGATTCTTTCAGGTAGTGGGACTACTCAATAAATCCCTCATTACAAGTGAGCCAGAATGCTGGTTTTGTCTAGGATAGAGTTAATTTTCCTCCAAGTGTCTGGTAGGGTGCTGTGTTCTGTACTTAGGGTGAAAATAATGTTGATAACACACTGATGTTGTAATTGTTGCAGAGCAGTCCTTACAAGAAAGAAATAAAGAAAGAAAGGATTTTTTCTTTGTTTATTTTGTAGTTGTTGTGTTGTTGTGTTTTTCCTTTTTAGTTTGATTCAGCTTCCAGAGAGATATTTTCAATTTATTGTTTTGTTAAGGCCTTAATCCAAATAGGGCATACATATGCATGAGTCAACCCTCCAATATCAAATTCTCCCGGAATGTGCTCAAAATGTTTGAGACACACCAGGATGAATTGTGACTTTTCTTCTAGTTATCCTCAGGGGCATCTCTTCCGATGTGTTGGTTGTTGGTCTACCGGCCAGCTGACGGTGAGGCTGAGAGATGGAGTTAGGAGAATCTTATCAAGTAACGTTAAAGCGCTAACGGCATTAAACTAGGATGCTGCTTAGTGTCTTTGCTACCTATGGTGCATTGTGCAAATTAACTAAAGCAAGAAGCCTTGTGCCCCTTACCAAGGTCAGTCTCTTAATAAGAGTGTGAGCCTATTTTAGGAAACTGGTAGAAACTGGTGCTGCGGATGGACAAGAGCCAAGGAGCAACTGAGTCTGTGCAAAGACAAGAGGTCAACTGGCGGTGAGGAGGAAGAGTCATCAGTCTTCATTGCCACGAACCCCGTCGACCACCACCAGATTACACTACACAAGTGCAGATGGGAGGAGTTTATGGAAATGACTCCTTGGAACTAATTTTAATACGAAGCAGGGACAGGTTATGAATACATAAGGGCGTATTGTGAAACTTCATGCATAGGTAACTACTACATATAAGCAAGGCAAGTTGCGGTGTCAGGTGAGCACGTTTCTGACGGGACTACTCCCCGTGCTGCCCAGCGCTGACTAAACATACCTACGTTACAATCTTACTGATTGTGGAGTCAGTTTTGTTCAAGTCAAGGGCAGGGCCAGGAGGCTCCCTCCCTGCCTCCGGCTGCCGGGGCGCCGCGCTCCTCCGCTGCCCGCCGAGCTGCCCAGCGCCCCGCCCCGCGGCCGCCTCCTCGTCCGCCGAAGGGGCCGCGGCCCCGCGGGGGGCGGTGTGGGCCGGGCGTGGGCGGGCGGAGCGGTGGGCGCTGCCCCGGCGAGGGCCCGACTTGTGGTGCGGGCAGGAGCGGCCCGAGCTTGGCCCCGCTCTGCTGCTGTCCGCCTCCCGCCGGGCGCGGCAGGGCCCGATGGCGGGCGGGCTGGGGCCGCGGCTGCTGGCCTTGGCCTTGGCCTTGGGGCCGGCAGGTGAGCGGCGGGCAGGGAGGGCAGCGGGGCCGGCGCCGGGGTCGTGTCCGGTGTGTGCGGGAGAGGGAGGCGGTCGGGGTCGGGGAGGCTTTGGGAGCAGCCCCGTCTGAGTCCCGAGGAGAGCAGTCGGGGCAGTAACCCTGGCCAGGGGCTTTGTGTGGAGCAACGGGGTTGGTCACTCAGGCTGTGCTTTGCTGTAGTCGCAGGAGCTTCTAGAAAGCATCCTTCCTGTCCATGGGCACACACTGCCCCACTCCCTGTGCTCTCCTTCTGCAGGCGTTTGGGCTCAGAGTCTGGTGGAGTCTGGTGGAGGTCTGCGAGCACCTGGAGACTCCGTGCATCTCTCCTGCCAGGGATCTGGATTCACCTTTGGAAGTTATCCTGTCTGGTGGTACCGTCAGGCACGCGGTGGAAGTCTCGAGTGGCTGTCCGCCATTACCTATGATGGTAGCTCTGTACAATATGGCAAAGCAGTGAAGGGCCGAGCCACAGCCTCCCGGGACAATTCCCAGTCCAAGTCTTCTCTGTCCCTGAGCTCCCTGGTACCCCAGGACTCAGCCCACTACTTCTGTGCAGTTCGCACAGGGACAGGAAATCCAGCTGAGCTTTAACACAAACCTGCTCCCAGGGCCCCTCAACTTTCCTACATATATTGCTGCCACAGAGGCTACGTATATTGCAGCCTCTGGCTGCTGGAGGATCCACTCCTTCCCACCCCGCTCTCTGCCCTATGCTCACCTCCTCATCCACCAAGGAGTCTGCAGGGCAGTGGGAAGCAGGATGGACACTAAGTGCATGTTATTTTTATTCTATCCATATCAGGATTTGGTAGGTGAGCTTGATGGTTGGACTTGATGATCTTACAGCCTTAATGATTCTATGGTTCTGTGATTTCCATGCACGTCACCAGCTGGGGATGCAGGCTGATTGTGAATGACTATAGCATCTCATGATACCAGCATACACACAGGTCCGCATTCCTCTTGGTCTCTGTCTAGAGCAAAAATTCCTTTCCCTACACCTTATGGAAGGCTGCCATGTGTGGGTGTGCAGCCCACCACCTCCTGGGACAGTTCTGAGGTGTTGAAATGTATTGTTCTGCATGCCCTGCATGCCCGGGACTGCACTTGCTGCTTTTGTGCTGCCTCTGTGGGGATAGAAAGCTGAAGTGTTCCCTGACATGAACCTCCTACTGGGGCTTCTCACCCTCTCCATGTTCACTCACATGTCCCAGCAAAGGGGCCAGCCAGGATGTGGGCTAGGACAGATTGCAGCTTTGGCCTGTGCTGCCAGAACATGATGCACCAGTAGAGGGGTGTCCAGGGATTCTTTCAGGTAGTGGGACTACTCAATAAATCCCTCATTACAAGTGAGCCAGAATGCTGGTTTTGTCTAGGATAGAGTTAATTTTCCTCCAAGTGTCTGGTAGGGTGCTGTGTCTTGTACTTAGGGTGAAAATAGTGTTGATAACACACTGATGTTATAGTTGTTGCAGAGCAGTCCTTACAAGAAAGAAAGAGAGAAAGGATTTTTTGTTTTTTGGTTTCTATTGTTGCTGTTGTGTTGTTGTGTTTTTCCTTTTTAGTTTGGTACAGCTTCCAGAGAGATATTTTCAATTTATTGTTTTGTTAAGGCCTTAATCCAAATAGGACATATGCATGAGTCAACCCTCCAATATCAATTTCTCCCGGAATGTGCTCAAAATGTTTGAGACACACCAAGTTGAATTGTGACTTTTCTTCTAGTTAGCCTCAGGGACATCCTTTCTGATGTGTTGGTTGTTGGTCTACCGGCCAGCTGACGGTGAGGCTGAGAGATGGAGTTAGGAGAATCTTATCAAGTAACGTTAAAGCGCTAACGGCATTAAACTAGGATGCTGCTTAGTGTCTTTGCTAACTGTGGTGCATTGTGCAAATTAACTAAAGCAAGAAGCCTTGTGCCCCTTACCAAGGTCAGTCTCTTAATAAGAGTGTGAGCCTATTTTAGGAAACTGGTAGAAACTGGTGCTGCGGATGGACAAGAGCCAAGGAGCAACTGAGTCTGTGCAAAGACAAGAGGTCAACTGGCGGTGAGGAGGAAGAGTCATCAGTCTTCATTGCCACGACCCCCGTCGACCACCACCAGATTACACTACACAAGTGCAGATGGGAGGAGTTTATGGAAATGACTCCTTTGAACTAGTTTTAATACGAAGCGGGGACACGTTATGAATACGTAAGGGCGTATTGTGAAACTTCATGCATAGGTAGCTCTTTACTGCATATAAGCAAGGCAAGTTGCGGTGTCAGGTGAGCACGTTTCTAATGGGACTACCCCCCGTGCTGCCCAGCGCTGAAGAAACATACCTACGTTACAATCTTACTGATTGTGGAGTCAGTTTTGTTCAAGTCAAGGGCAGGGCCAGGAGGCTCCCTGCCTGCCTCCGGCTGCCGGGGCGCCGCGCTCCTCCGCTGCCCGCCGAGCTGCCCCGCGCCCCGCCCCGCGGCCGCCTCCTCGTCCGCCGAAGGGGCCGCGGCCCCGCGGGGGGCGGTGTGGGCCGGGCGTGGGCGGGCGGAGCGGTGGGCGCTGCCCCGGCGAGGGCCCGACTTGTGGTGCGGGCAGGAGCGGCCCGAGCTTGGCCCCGCTCTGCTGCTGTCCGCCTCCCGCCGGGCGCGGCAGGGCCCGATGGCGGGCGGGCTGGGGCCGCGGCTGCTGGCCTTGGCCTTGGCCTTGGGGCCGGCAGGTGAGCGGCGGGCGGGGAGGGCAGCGGGGCCGTGTCCGGTGTGTGCGGGAGAGGGAGGCTGTCGGGGTCTAGGAGGCTTTGGGAGCAGCCCCGTCTGAGTCCCGAGGAGGGCAGTCGGTGCAGTGCCCCTGGCCAGGAGCTTTCTAGGGAGCAACGGGGTTGGTGTTACAGGTTGTGTTGTGCTGGAGTCACTGGAGCTTCTAGACAGCATCCTCCTCCATCCGTGGCCACACACTGTCCCACTCCCTGTGTTCTCCTTCTGCAGGCGTTTGGACTCAGTTGAGTGTGGTGGAGTCTGGTGGAGGTCTGCGAGCACCTGGAGACTCCGTGCGTCTCTCCTGCCAGGGATCCGGACTCAGCTTTGAAGATTATTATGTCTATTGGTACCGTCAGGCACGCAGTGGTGGTCTCGAGTGGGTGTCTTACATCAGCGGGCCATCTGGTACTATACTGAAATACGGGGCTGCAGTAGAAGGTCGAGCCACAGCCTCCCGGGACAATTCACGGGCTGAGTCATCTCTGTCCCTCCAACATCTGCATGTGGGGGACTCAGGCCGCTATTTCTGTGCTGTTCGCACAGGGACAGGAAATCCAGCAGAGCTTTAACAAAAATCCCTTTGCAGGGCATGGCCAGTTAGCTGCAGGGCTGGTTTGGGCTGTGTAAGCTGTGGGCTGCTTCCAGGGAGCAAGGGTGCATCACAGATGGCCCTGTCCTTTCTGTAAGTGTTCCTTTCTCTTAATCACCCCTTTCTCTCAAGTGAGCAACTGAAGCTAACTGCATCCTGTGCTGCAGTAATAGAGGAGTGGGTATAGGTAGAGATAGTTGATTGTCTGCCTCTAATCTCCCCCTATTATGCCCCACTTGGAGTACTGTGTCCAGGTCTGGAGCTCCCAGCACAAGAAGGATGTTGATCTGTTAGAGCAGGTCCAGAGGAGTGCCACAAATATGGTCATGGGGCTGGAGCATGTCTCATATGAAAAAAGGCTGAGAGATGTGGGGCTGTTTATCCCACAGAAGCAAAAGCTTGCAGGTGACCTCATTGCAACCTTTCAGTATTTGACGGGGGCTTGTAGAAGGGATGGAGAGCAACTCTTTACTCATTTGGATGTTGACAGGATGAGGGGGAATGGTTTTAAACTAAAAGAGTGGAGATTTAGATGAGGGGTTAGGAGGGCCCAGGTGGGGCACCACTTTCTTCACTCAGAGGGTGGTGAGGCACTTGAAGATGGTGCCCAGAGATGTTGTGGATGCCCCACCCTTGGAGGTGTTCAAGACCAGCTTGGATAAGGCTCTGATCAACCTGATCTCTTGGGTGGCATCCCTGCCTATGGCAGGGGGTTGGAACTAAATGTTTTTTGGTGTCCCTTCCATCCCAAGCTGTTCTATGACTATTAAATTAGTGTATAACCGAGTATGAAAAGCCTGCAAACTGAAGCATTGTGCTAAGTTGTTGTTAGGTCCTGTCTTACAGGTAAACCTTTGAAGAACCAGAATTTGAAAAGGCAATAAACAAAATGAGTACAACATTTTTTTTTCTCATAGTACATGATCTGCCAGTTTAAAGCAGCAATGCTTTTCACGTCTGTGTGACTGTGTGTGTGTGTGAGGAGGGGTGGTGCTCATCTTCTGTGTGGGAGGAGGGCTATGTATAAAAAGGTTAGAGAATACATTGTGGAATTCCCTAAAACCTCGGAAAATTGTTCCATATGAAGTCTGAGTCATGGGTCACTGGAAAGCAAGGGTAATAGGAGGTGAAGTGCTGACCTTATTTTAAAAAATATCAATGCCTTCTGCTTTGTGAAAGAACCTGTAAAGTGGACTGACATTACAAAGAGTCCCAAGCCCACAGTGGTTCTAAAATCGAAGAACAACGTTTAGCTGTCTTCAATACTGTGATGTGACTGAGCTGCCAGCACAGAGGTGATGCAGAAGCAGGTCACCCCTGAGGATCAATCGGTTGTGCTGGAGTTAGACCAAAAGTACAGGATCCATCAGGCCACAGATACCCCACGATGCAGTGCCTGGGGAGATACTGCTATGAAAGACGTACCAGCGGACATGCCTATGTGGAGTGGAGAAGGCTTCTCCTTTCAGTCCGGAGAAGATGAGGCTCGGTCTGCTTAGTGGAGGCCTCTCTCCCGCTCCCTGAAAGGAAGTTGTGGGGAGCTGTGGGCCGGCCTGTTCTCGCTGATAACGAGCGATAGGACAAGAGGGGCCGCGGCCCCGCGGGGGGCGGTGTGGGCCGGGCGTGGGCGGGCGGAGCGGTGGGCGCTGCCCCGGCGAGGGCCCGACTTGTGGTGCGGGCAGGAGCGGCCCGAGCTTGGCCCCGCTCTGCTGCTGTCCGCCTCCCGCCGGGCGCGGCAGGGCCCGATGGCGGGCGGGCTGGGGCCGCGGCTGCTGGCCTTGGCCTTGGCCTTGGGGCCGGCAGGTGAGCGGCGGGCGGGGAGGGCAGCGGGGCCGTGTCCGGTGTGTGCGGGAGAGGGAGGCTGTCGGGGTCGGGGAGGCTTTGGGAGCCGCCCCTTCAGAGCCCCGAGGAGGGCAGTCGGGGCAGTGCCCCTGGCCAGGGGCTTTGTGTGGATCAAGCGGGTTGGCGTTTCTGTCTGTGCTGGGCTGGACTTGCTGTAGGTTCTGGAGAGGATCTTCCATCCGTGGGCACATGCATCCCTGCTCACTGTGCTCTCCTTCTTCAGGCGTTTGTTCTGAATTAAAGCTGGTGGAGTCTGGTGGAGGTCTGCGAGCACCTGGAGACTCCGTGCAGCTCTCCTGCCAGGGATCCGGATTCAGCTTTCAAGATTATGCTATCTTGTGGTACCGTCAGGCACCCGGTGGAAGTCTCGAGTGGGTGTCCTTCATTTACTATGATGCAGAATATGGCAAAGCAGTGGAGGGCCGAGCCAGTGTCTCCCGGGACAATTCCCAGTCCAAGTCTTCTCTGTCCCTGAGCTCCCTGGTACCCCAGGACTCAGCCCACTACTTCTGTGCAGTTCGCACAGGGACAGGAAATCCAGCTGAGCTTTAACACAAACCTAGTGACAGGGCTCCTCACTTCTCCTACATATATTGCTGCCACAGAGGCTACATATATTGCAGCCTCTTGCTGCTGGAGGATCCACTCCTTCCCACCCCGCTTTCTGCCCTATGCTCACCTCCTCATCCACCAAGGAGTCTGCAGGGCAGTGGGAAGCAGGATGGACACTAAGTGCATGTTATTTTTATTCTATCCGTATCAGGATTTGGTAGGTGAGCTCGATGGTTGGACTTGATGATCTTACAGCCTTAATGATTCTATGGTTCTGTGATTTCCGTGCATGTCACCAGCTGGGGATGCAGGCTGATTGTGAATGACTACAGCATCTCATGATACCAGCAGGCACACAGATCCACATTCCTCTTGGTCTCTGTCTAGAGCAAAAATCCCTTTTCCTACACCTTATGGAAGGCTGCCATGTGTGGGTGTGCAGCCCACCACCTCCTGGGACAGTTTCGAGGTGTTGAAATGTATTGTCCTGCATGCCCTGCATGCCCGGGACTGCACTTGCTGCTTTTGTGCTGCCTCTGTGGGGATAGAAAGCTGAAGTGTTCCCTTACATGAACCTCCTACTGGGGCTTCTTACCCTCTCCATGTTCACTCACATGTCCCAGCAAAGGGGCCAGCCAGGATGTGGGCTAGGACAGATTGCAGCTTTGGCCTGTGCTGCCAGAACATGATGCACCAGTAGAGGGGTGTCCAGGGATTCTTTCAGGTAGTGGGACTACTCAATAAATCCCTCATTACAAGTGAGCCAGAATGCTGGTTTTGTCTAGGATAGAGTTAATTTTCCTCCAGGTGTCTGGTAGGGTGCTGTGTTCTGTACTTAGGGTGAAAATAATGTTGATATCACACTGATGTTGTAATTGTTGCAGAGCAGTCCTTACAAGAAAGAAATAAAGAAAGAAAGGATTTTTTCTTTGTTTATTTTGTAGTTGTTGTGTTGTTGTGTTTTTCCTTTTTAGTTTGATTCAGCTTCCAGAGAGATATTTTCAATTTATTGTTTTGTTAAGGCCTTAATCCAAATAGAGCATACATATGCATGAGTCAACCCTCCAATATCAATTTCTCCCGGAATGTGCTCAAAATGTTGGAGACACACCAGGTTGAATTGTGACTTTTCTTCTAGTTAGCCTCAGGGACATCCTTTCTGATGTGTTGGTTGTTGGTCTACCGGCCAGCTGACGGTGAGGCTGAGAGATGGAGTTAGGAGAATCTTATCAAGTAACGTTAAAGCGCTAACGGCATTAAACTAGGATGCTGCCTAGTGTCTTTGCTACCTATGGTGCATTGTGCAAATTAACTAAAGCAAGAAGCCTTGTGCCCCTTACCAAGGTCAGTCTCTTAATAAGAGTGTGAGCCTATTTTAGGAAACTGGTAGAAACTGGTGCTGCGGATGGACAAGAGCCAAGGAGCAACTGAGTCTGTGCAAAGACAAGAGGTCAACTAGCGGTGAGGAGGAAGAGTCATCAGTCTTCATTGCCACGACCCCCGTCGACCACCACCAGATTACACTACACAAGCTCAGATGGGAGGAGTTTATGGAAATGACTCCTTTGAACTAATTTTAATACGAAGCAGGGACAGGTTATGAATACATAAGGGCGTATTGTGAAACTTCATGCATAGGTAACTACTACATATAAGCAAGGCAAGTTGCGGTGTCAGGTGAGCACGTTTCTGACGGGACTACTCCCCGTGCTGCCCAGCGCTGACTAAACATACCTACGTTACAATCTTACTGATTGTGGAGTCAGTTTTGTTCAAGTCAAGGGCAGGGCCAGGAGGCTCCCTCCCTGCGTCCGGCTGCCGGGGCGCCGCGCTCCTCCGCTGCCCGCCGAGCTGCCCCGCGCCCCGCCCCGCGGCCGCCTCCTCGTCCGCCGAAGGGGCCGCGGCCCCGCGGGGGGCGGTGTGGGCCGGGCGTGGGCGGGCGGAGCGGTGGGCGCTGCCCCGGCGAGGGCCCGACTTGTGGTGCGGGCAGGAGCGGCCCGAGCTTGGCCCCGCTCTGCTGCTGTCCGCCTCCCGCCGGGCGCGGCAGGGCCCGATGGCGGGCGGGCTGGGGCCGCGGCTGCTGGCCTTGGCCTTGGCCTTGGGGCCGGCAGGTGAGCGGCGGGCGGGGAGGGCAGCGGGGCCGGGGCAGAGGCCGTGTCCGGTGTGTGCGGGAGAGGGAGGCTGTCGGGGTCGGGGAGGCTTTGGGAGCAGCCCCGTCTGAGTCCCGAGGAGGGCAGTCGGGGCAGTGCCCCTGGACACGGGCTTTCTAGGGAGCAACGGGTTTGGTCACTCAGGCTGTGCTGTGCTGTAGTCGCAGGAGCTTCTAGAAAGCATCCTTCCTGTCCATGGGCACACACTGCCCCACTCCCTGTGCTCTCCTTCTGCAGGCGTTTGGACTCAGTTGAGTGTGGTGGAGTCTGGTGGAGGTCTGCGAGCACCTGGAGACTCCGTGCATCTCTCCTGCCAGGGATCCGGATTCACCTTTGGAAGTTATCCTGTCTGGTGGTACCGTCAGGCACGCGGTGGAAGTCTCGAGTGGCTGTCCGCCATTAGCTCTGGTGGTAGCACTGTAGAATATGGCAAAGCAGTGAAGGGCCGAGCCAGTGTCTCCCGGGACAATTCCCAGTCCAAGTCTTCTCTGTCCCTGAGCTCCCTGGTACCCCAGGACTCAGCCCAGTACTTTTGTGCAGTTGGCACAGGGACAGGAAATCCAGCTGAGCTTTAACACAAACCTGCTGCCAGGGCCCCTCACCTTTCCTACATATATTACTGCCACAGAGGCTACATATATTGCAGCCTCTGGCTGCTGTAGGTGCTGGAGGAGCCTCTGACTCCTTCCCACCCCGCTCTCTGCCCTATGCTCACCTCCTCATCCACCAAGGAGTCTGCAGGGCAGTGGGAAGCAGGATGGACACTAAGTGCATGTTCTTTTTATTCTATCCGTATCAGGATTTGGTTGGTGAGCTCGATGGTTGGACTTGATGATCTTACAGGTCTTTTGTAGCAGTAACGATTCGGTGGGAGGCGAGGGCAGCGGGCCCTGGGCGGGGTTGGGGCTGGGACTGAAACGTGTCGGGGCTAGGCCAGCGGGTTGCTGTGACCGATGTGGAGCGTCTCCTGGTGCCGCCCCACCAGGCGCACTGGGGTCCGGCGCTCTCCGTCGTCGTTGTGGAGGGTCCGGTGTGTGCGGGAGAGGGATGCAGGCCGGGGTGGGGTTGCATTGGGAGCAGCCCCATCTGAGCCCCGTGGAGCGCAGTCGGGACTGCGGGCCTCACCAGGGGCTTTGTGGGGAAAAGGGGGTTGGCGGCTCAGGCTGTGATGTGATGGGGTTGCCGGGGCTTCTGGAGAACATGCTTCCTCCGTCGGTACGCACTGCCTCACTCCTTGTGCTCTCCTGCAGGTGTGTGTGCTGAATTGATGCTGGTGGAGTCTGGTGGACGTCTTCGAGTGCCAGGGGAATCCGTGCACCTCTCCTGCTGGGGATCTGACTTCAACTTTGCAATTTACAGTGTTCTGTGGTACCGTCAGGCACTTGGTGGGAGTCTTCAGTGGCTGTCCTATATTAACCCAGATTCCTCATATATTAGATATGGCTCAGCAGTGAAAGGCCGAGCCACAGCCTCTCGAGATAATTCCAAGTCCAAGACAGCTCTGACCCTGAATAACCTGCACCTCCAGGACTCAGCCCGCTATTTCTGTGCTGTTCACACAGGGACAGGAAATCTAGCTGAGCTTTAACTGAATCCTGCTTGCAGGGCTCTGGCCCTTGGCACTGGAGCTTAATCGAGTTGCACAGGTGTTTGGGGCAGCTCCTAGAGAGCCATTTTTTTTTTACAACATACAGTTTTTAATTATTTGACTTAGAGAGACATGTTCTACTTGTTTCTGTCCCCAGAGGAGCTCAAACACTTCTGATTGCTGTCTTCCTGTGTCTCTTCCTCACGTTCCTGAAACATCACCTTTGGAAACAAGTTTCCCTGTTTCCATTGTTTCCTGATAGGATGGGTGTCATGTAGTTGTCCTACAGATAAACCCTGGTCTGGTTTTAGGTATGGCTTGGTTTGCTTCAGTCCAGCCTACAGGCTTTGTACTCTCCCCTTTTCTCTGAGGGTTTCCCCTTCTCTCTGAGGGTTGAACAGGGGAAAAGGGGAGAGTACAAAGGGTCCTTTGGGAGCTCACCATAAGAAAGGAGATGTCTGTAGTTTCTCGTGGAAGACAGTTCAGGAAAGACAAAATTTGCCTTTCATCCAAAATGAGACAGTTTTCACATCAGTGTCTTGTAGGCTTAACAAAGCAGTATTGCAATAAAAGTAAATTTACATTATTTACATTATTTCCAATTGGTTCTTTCCCTGATAACATGAAAGTCTGTGCACACGTCTGAGTGCTTCATCTTATGGCCACATTCTGGGTTGGTTGTTGTTTTTCATGGGCTTCTCTCACAGATCTGAGAATATAATGGGAGCAAGAGCTACTGAGAATATGTCTTTACAGCCCCTGGATTCCACAGATCACAAGTAGAAGCCTGAGAAAATGAGAGAGTGGACGAAGCAATTGCTTGAGCTCTCACTGCTTGTTCATCCTTCTCATCTGGGGCTGTGGTTGCCCTTTTCCAGGTGCAGAGGCCTTTGGGCCCATAGTAGGGAAGGTCACAGAGTCTCTCACACTTAGCTGTCCCATCTCTGGTGTTCCCATAACTACACTTGGAGCTGGATCTGGCAGATTCCTGACAGAGACCTGCAGCATATAGTGCTGCAATATTTTTTGTAGGACTCCAACACTTTGCTTCATCCTTCCAGACTGGAGTCACCAGGTCTGCAGGCTCCTCCAGGAATGACCTTTCCCTGGAAGTGCTCCAGGAGGTGAGACCTGCTGGAAAACCAGATCTGAATTGGTTCTTGAAAACTCATGTTGTTTGGGGAGTCCCAGAGTGGTGCAGCACCAGGAGCTGAGCTGAAGAGGTTATTTTCCCTTGGACCTGAGTAGTCTCTTCCCTTTGTTTTTAGTTGTGGCTCCAGGTACATACCTGTTCACATGTGCACACTGAGGCTAGCAGGAATTTTTGCTGGGGACCCCAGCAAAGAGGGTATGGAGGGTGCCCTGGACCAGAACAACAATCCCGTAATCCATAGGTTTAAGGGGCTATAGAGGACCTGGCATGTCCTGCCATGCGGGGACAGTCCTGAGCTGCTCAGGGCACCCTACACCACCCTAATCCTGCATCCTACTGCTTCAATGCCCACCCTCAAGTCTCCAACGGGCTCCTCTGACCTATGCAACTCCCTTTTCCAGCCCTGTCCTAGCCTTCCCCAGGGAGCCAGGCTGTAGTACCTGGGAAAAGATGGGGTTGCAGGGGGATAGATTCAGACACTCTGTGGAGTTGGCAGTGTTCCCCTAAAGGTGGTACCTGTCAAAACCATGACACTGTGCCAGGGTTTGGTCCACTTAGGTGTCCTGTACTGTAGCTGAAAAGGTCCTAAGGGGAGTTCTGGGCTCCTGCTAAGCTGGAGTCGTGTTGTTAAGGCAATGTTCTCTGGACTAGATTTACAAGGAGGAGTCTGGAGAAGGTTTCCAGTCACTTTAAGGGAGCAGTGGAATCCTGGAACAGATTTACACCACAGATTCAGAGAGCAAAACAAAGGGATGAGGCAGCATATTACTGTGGTGCAAGACTCATACTGGAGCAGAACTGCATCAGAGTGGAACAAATTTATGATCCAATTTATGACAAGTTATGATCCAATATATACTGGGAAGTTCAGAGGCTGTATGGTGTACTGCAGGTTAACACACTTTGCCTGGGCCTCCTATTTATCATGGCCCAGTTTTTCCTCCACAGCCTAGCTGCAAAGATACTGGATCATGGAGATTTGGTGGGACAGCTTGCAGAAATACTGTAGGGGATGGATCAAAAGAAGGGGATGCATCAAAAGAAGTGCAGCTAGCAGGTCAAGGGAGGTATTTTTTCCCTTCTGCTGTTGTGAGACCCTGCCTGGAGTACAGTGTTCAGCTCTAGGACCCCCAGCATAAGAAAGACATAGACCTGTTACAGAGGAGAGCCATGAAGATGATGAGATGGTTGAAGCACCTCTCATATGAATAAAGACAGAGAATTGGGGTTGTTCAGCCTGGAGAAGAGAAGGCTCTGGGGAGACCTTTTAGTGGTCTTCCGGTACTTACAGGGGGCCTATGGGAAAGATGGAGAAGGACTCTTTATCAGGAAGTGCAATGATAGGACAAGGGGGAATAGCTTTACTCTAAAAGTGAGTAGATTTAGATTAATCTTTAGGACGAAATTTTTTACTATGAGATGATAAAGCACTAGAACAGGTTGCCCAGAGAAGTTGTGGATGCCCACTCTCTGGAATTGTTCAAGACCAGGTTGGATGGGATTTTGGACAACCTGATGTAGTGGAAGGTGTCTGCCCATGGCAGGGAGGTTGGCAGTAGGTGATCTGTAAGGTCCCTTCCAATCCAAACTATTCTATGACTCCTCATTAGGAAAGAGAGACTGGGAAGGTGAGGAAAGGCAATTGCTCTTTCCATGACAGACTATGTGAAATGCATGGAATTCTGCTTTGGGACACGCAATGAGAGAGCTGATAGCATATGGGTCAGGCTTAGAGAGCAGATCAGCATGACTGATATGATGGGTGGCTATGACAGATCATCTGATCCAGAAGAGGTAGATGAAGCTTTCTGCAGACAACTGGAAGAAGCCTCATGTTCACTGGCCCTGGTCTTGATAGGGGACTTGAACCGTGTGAAATATCTGCTGGAAGGAACGCACAGGAGGGCAAAAGCCATCCAAGCACTTTTCTAGAGCTTACTGATGAAAATATCGTGACAGAATGATAGAGGAGCTGGACCTCCTACTTCATCATGACAAAACAGGAAGTCAAGAAAAGGAGGTTAAAATCATGAGGAAGGAGCTCCTAAACAAACTCAGAAACTGAAAGAAAATGTGCAAGAGGTCGAAGCAGAGGCAGGTGATCTGGGAGGCATTTAGACACCCTGTATGATCATTCAGGATTAGGGTTGGGAAAGCCAAAGCCTATCAGGAGCTGATTGTGGTGAGGCATATGGGGTCATTTATCCCCAGTCTCTACTCTGGTTACCACATTTGGCTCTGTGGAAGAATCATTGTCATGGATTAACCTAAGAGTTATTTAACACAGTAGAGTTCCTGTCAGGCCAGTATCAATTGTCTCTCTAGAACTGATAAATACAGAGAAGATGCTTTTTTATTTCTTCTGTTACCACCTTCCTTTCTTGTAGCTGTCTGCAGCATACAGACTTTCCCAAGCAAGTATTAAAGATCCAACTTTAAATCACTGATTTTGTCTGTCCATTCCCAAATGAAAGTTGTGACTTACTGTTTGATCTTTTTAAATAACAATTTTCGTAAGATCACCTACACTCAGGAAACAAATAACCAGTAGAATTTCTGCCTTGGAAGATGGTTTGAATATATGGAATGATTATGTCCATATAAGAACATAATGTCTAATGTATCCTTTAAGAAAGAAGTCAACTTCTTGACAGCTACACCCCAGAATCACCTCTCCTTCCAATGACAGCCATGGACACAGACTTTTATATATGTGTGATGAGATCAAGTAGATGTTCTGGGAGCTAATCTCAGAGTAAGCTGTTCCCCAAAAAGGGAAATTGGGTTAAAATACAAATGTTTAGTGGCTAAGAATTATTGTGCTGAAAGGGCCAGGATTGTTTTTTTTCTCTAAAAATGCTTGTTAGACCTTTTGGCAAGAGCTTAAAGAACTCAACTATTCCCTGTACAAAATATATCTTCATCTGCTTAGGACACTCTTCTGGAGGAAGAGGCACTCCCTTTCTTACTTCTTCTGACACAGAACTGAAGGAGAGGTCTTCAGTATCACTTTGTAGAAGACAAATGGTCTAAACATTCTCTCTAGCACCTCACTATCAGTATTGGAATGCCTCCTGCAACTTTTTGGAGGGCATGCACCAGGACGAAGAAAGAAAAAACAAAGGCACAACTCAGCTTTTAAACCAAACAAACCCAAGTGCGTGGCTTGCAGGAGGCTGTAAAAGACAGGTGTGTTTCTGTGGCTACACAAAGGCCTGGCATGGGAAAGGGCTGTTGTACTATGTCTCAGATTTCAGTGGCAAGAATGCTTCCCTGATATGATTTGGCAGCAAGTGACAGGGGTGGGATGGGCACCTGTAGCTAACCAGGCCTGTCACTGGAGATCTTTAGAATTTCTCTTTGTCCCGCAAACAGTTCAAGAGACTGAAAGTATCACATCTGTCAACTCAGTCATTTCCTGGGGAAGGGTGAGGCAAGAAGGAGAAACCAATTTGGCACAGTAAAGGAAAGTGTCAATGAACATACACATCTTGACAACAGAAAACATAGCAGCACTGGTATTAAAAATAGTAATTAAAAATGAGAAATACACTTTTGTGTTTAGTAATAACAATAATGCTAATAAACAAATTGAGTAATACAGCATGGAACCAGGCAGATTTTTGAACAGGTTGAAATACTGCTATTTCCTTTTGTGTCTTAGAAATGGAATTGATTCAGAAACTGCTTCACAGTTGCAGATAGCCATTAAGCCAAATAATCAAAATCAGATATTTTATTTTATTTTATTTTATTTTATTTTATTTTATTTTATTTTATTTTATTTTATTTTATTTTTTTTATTTTAATTTTAATTTTTAAAGACAACTTTAATCATCCATGACTAGATATTACAGACTCTCAAACTCAGCTAAAGTCACATAAAAGTAGTTAAAATGTCCAAAGTATAGACAGTTCAGTAGCCAAGAAATCTATTTCACCATATCAGAGAAAGTGAGAAAAAACGATGCATATAATCATGAAAAAAAAAACAACAAACAAACAAACAAACAAAAAACAAAAAAAAACACCTCCAGAAACATTTACATAAATGGCACTCAAACAAGAAATATTATGAATCAAATACTTCAGTAAACAAACAACTTTAGCATATCCAGGAAAACAGAATCCATTAAAAAAAATCGGTGAAAACAAACTAACTTTTGAAAAAAATGTAAATATGGACTTATTTTTTATTTGACATGACAATAGGCTTTAGAAACATAAATGCTTTAAGGCCAAATAAGACTTGGGAAATGTAGAATGAAACTAAATTGAAAAGAGCAGTCAGGCATTGGAATGGCTTGCCCAGGGAAGTGGTGGCATCGGCGTCCCTGGGGGTGTTCAAGGAAGTGTTGGACATGGTGCTTAGGGACATAGTTCAGTGGTGACATTGGTAGTAGGGTGATGGTTGGACCAGGTGATCCTGAAGGTCTTTTCCAACCTTAATGATTCCATGATTCTATGATTAGTAGGACTGGTGCAACAGGTCCCCAGATATTCTTTAAAATGTTTTACCCCAAAGCTCATTATATTTGTTAAAAGATGAACCAGAAATAAGGTCTGTCAAGCTCTAACAACTCAAAAGGAATGACATCATTTATGAGAAGTACGGGCAATATTATAATCAGAGATTAATATTATTCTGCCAAAAAAAAAATGCTTACATCATTGCTTTTAGAATATAACAATCTCTCTGCAACAGTTTTAGATTATTCAAAAGTCTAATGGTAGAGAGAAAGAGGAAAATAAAATCTATCTATTCAAAGGACACGAAAAAGGAGAACACCTGACTCTAAAAAAAAAAAAAATCCAACAACAAAACAACAGATGTTTTTGTAGAACCGTCTACCACTGTGTTGACTACGTACCACAGTGACTGAAACAGACTGAACTGCTGCACACAAACTGGCTTATTCACTGACTTCTCTCAAATGCAGAAACATGGTGCCCTGCATAGTCTCTTTTTCTTCAGACAACTGTATTCACAAACACAAATTTGATTCCCAGCATGATTCAAAGAGTGGGGAGACATTCTTATACAAGCCTAGTTTCTATAGAAAACCCTGACATTCACATCAGATCTTACATCTTGCATATGATGTGATTTTGGACATCTGCCTGTCAGCTCAAGGTGATCAGGTAGGTATAGAACTACTGTATTTTAGGTGTTTCTATTTAATCTCAGCATTGTGTTCTCTTCTTTTTCTTAGATCACATAGAAAGTAAGATTTGTTGACTCTTTTTTTAGTGAAAATAGGGATCTTTTTAGCTCTGTATCCAAAAACATACAGACGCAGAGGCATGAAGAATAGTACAAAAGCAGGAGACTACAAAGGATACTTCCCACTAGCAATCTTCCAGCTACCAGACATCAGAACAAGGACTTTGAAACACATACGTCTCCAATATATTTACTTGGAAATCCTGAAGATTGGATTCACCTGTAAAGACAGACATAGAAGGCACCAAGTGCCTCAGAATGCTTCAACCTTTTCACTTGCTTTTGTCTCCATTTCCCGTGCTCCAATCAGCAGTGTGTCCACGTTTTCTCTAGTCCTTCTTTGGTTGATGATGTACCTATAGAAACATTTTTGTTACTCTCCATGCGGCTTACCAGAATCAGCTCCAGATGGGCTTTGGTTTTCCCAACCCTAATCCTGCATGATCAGGCAGGGTGTCTTCTATCCTTTGTAGATCACTTGCATCTGCTTCTATCTCTTGCAGATTTCCTTTCTATTTCTGAGTTTGTTCAGGAGTTCCTTGTTCAACATTTTGGCCTCCTGCTACCTTTGCTTGATTTCCTGCTTGCATGAACCATTCTTGAACCTGAAGTGGGTGATCTCTGAAAATCAAGCAACTTTCCTGGACCCCTCCTCTGTCCAGGACCATAACCCATGGGATTCTTCTAAGCAGATCCCCAAGGGTGGCAAATTCTGCTCTTCTGAAGTCTAGGACTGTGATTCTGCTTTTTGCATTTCTCCCTTCTCTCTGAGCTCAAACTCTGCATGATCACTGCAGCCAAGCCTACCACTGACCTTCACATCTACCACCAATTCTTCCTTGTTTGCAAGGATGAGGTCCAGCTCTATCACCTGTGACGTAATATTTTCAACAGTAAGCTCTAGAAAAGTGTTGCAATGTTTGTGTCCTGCTGTGCTTTCCTTCCAGCTGATATTTGGTATGATTCAAGTCCCCCATGAGGACCATGTGAACGTGAAGCTTCTTCCAGTTGTCTGCAGAAGTCTTCATCTACTTCTTCCAGATCAGATGAACTGTCATAGCCACCCATCATGCTGATCTGCTCTCTAATCCTGACCCATATGCTATCAGCTCTCTCACTGGGTGTCCCAAAGCAGAACTATGCATTTCAGGTAACATTCAGACGCATTTCAATTCTTGAGTCATATGAAGTATCCTACCATGTCTCCATGATCTCAGTGAGATCATAGCCCTGCAACTACAAGCTGGGATTAAATTTATCTTGTTTTTCTTTTCCTGGGTTTTCATTTATTATTGCCCAGGCACTTCAGAGGGGAACTCAGTCACACATGAAGACTTTATTTTGCACCAGCTTATTGGCAAAGAAGCCAGCTATTGTACAGCTTTTACTCAGCTTATTGGCAAAGAAACTTTTGGCCCATTTAGTCAGGTGGATCCCATCTCTTTCACATAGTCCTCAGTCCAATGGGTCTGATGGTCATAGAAACAAAGTCCCTGCTGCCACCAACTCTCAGCCAGCAGGATCCACCCATTCCTCCTTCTCACTTCCTTCCTCCTCACCAATAGGATGAAATAGAAACCCCTGTGTCCTTGACCATCACCTTTCAAGCCATGTAGTCATGCTGGCTACTTTCCAGGACTCCTGGCAGTTTCATTAGTACTCACATGAAAGATCAGCAGGGGTTAATAGTCTATATGTCTTATAAGTTTTGACAGTGTCCCAGATTTGAGGCCTTAAAAGTAGTAAACCTCGCTAGATGACAGGTCAGTTTGTCAGATGGGGGCTTACATCCTCTGGAGCGGGGAGCCTCCCACTACTAACACTCACCACTTTTTCTGCTGCTCCTGTGTGATCCATGGCCTATGAGCACATACACCTCATTTCACAGAGTTCTACCTTCTTGTTTACTGTGAGAGTACTCAATCTATTCTGTAGTTGCAAATCTTCAGGTGGAGCAAGAGCATTCCTCCTAGTGACAGAAATCACAATTCCCAGCCTTCATCATCACAGGAGTCTCCTTTTCCCAAAATGATGGACACAGACAACCTGCTTCTCCTCTGTTAGAAACTGGGAGTTGGGCTCTTCAAACTACAGGGTTCCTGTTTTCATCTCATTTGGCCTCCTCACAAAACTCCTCTTTTGGTGACACAGATCTTCATCAACAACACATATTCTACAGGTTAGAAGATCACGGCATCTTTCTTTGGTCTTAACAGCTGCAATGTCAGCATCTTTCCACAATGGAGGGTGTTTCAAGGATCATTCTACAAGCTTCCCGTATGTAAGATGCCACCTCCATTTCTGTCAGAGGAAATATAAATAAGTTGCATTTCTTTAAGCCCTTGGAAGCATCATGGAAGATGGTGAGTTGCAGTCTCCATCATTACATGTTGTTAAATCCTCAGTTTACCTCACAGTAAGAAAGCTTTGTATTTCAAACACTGCTCTTACATCTTTTTTCTGTGATGAAAGAACATGCACACAGATCTTTGTGTGCACCAAGGGGTTACTATGTTGGTTAAGTGTTACTTTGTCTGTTCTCTCATGTTCAAATTTATATTTTTGCATTGCAAGACAGCTGTAGGAGGGACTTTCATTTTTTTTTTTTCACTGTAACATCTTGGACAATAGTGAAAAGGCATTTAATCACCAAACCTCTGATTCCTAGATGAGCCAAATAAAGAGCCACATGATTTCAAACCAGCCCAGAACAGACAGGTACATTCACACATAGTGTATGTTCCTCTGCTTATACTCTGTACAATTTTCTAGGTCTAGATAGTGCTAATGGTGCATGGCTTGATCCTCCTGAAGACTTTGATCAAGCTGCTATAAACAACTTACTCTTTGACAGCCACTTCTATGGGTACAGTATCTCTACCTAACAAAGAACAATAATTTTCTCTACTTTCTCATCTTACCTAAAAAAAAGGATTAAGACTTCCTAAGGCACCAAATGACCCCCAGACACCACCTCTAAGTGACAATATCAAGCACATTTGTCACCCTGCTGAGCAATGAAATCAAATTCAAGATGTAAAAGTAGACACCTTTCTGCAACCTAGAAGAATTTTCCAAAATGCTTTGAAATAGTACTAAAGATACCGTGTTTATCTTTTTCCCCTGCTTTCTCACAAGCTTAACTCCACGAGACTTTTCAGAAGAGTTATGTAATCCCAAAGTTGCCACTTTAAATTTTACCTTCTTTATCTTATTCTAGACTCTTTCTTGAAAGCCATACCATATTTCTTCATGTGGTATGTTAGTACAGAAACCACTCAAGAAGTCATGTGACTGCCAGTATAATCCAAAATTCTGCGTAGACAAAAGAGGCAGTTTTTGTAATGAAATATATCACAGTGTTTTGGGGTTGGAGTACCACAATGATATAAACAATATAGGGCCCTGTACAAAAACTGAAAGATGGAAAAATGGCTATGTGTTTTTGAAAGAAAATTACATAAATGCCTGAAATATGTCAGGAGACAAATCCAATGTTCTTTTCATATTTTCATTTATCCTGGAAAAATAAATCTCACAGAGTTGCCAAAACATGGAAGAAAAGGAGAACTTGGGATTTCTGTACTTGATCAAGCTATTTGAAGTCATTGAACTACTCAATTATTGTTTGCTCCCTTCCAGGTTCAGAAGAAAGCATTGATTAAAACACCCTCATGGAATTTTATACATGGATCATTAGGATAAGTATATGGCTTTTATTCTCCTTTTTTAAACCAACTTATAGATATTGCAAGGAAAGAGTTATTTATTGGACTAGGTATTAACAGTGTGATAACAGATAAGCTTGTCTTTGGAAGTGGAACCACTCTCACAGTCGAACCAAGTAAGTACCATTATTTTAAATCTAAAAATTGTGTTAAAGGGATCCAGTGGTTTGCGTTCACTGTAAGAATTTTCTGCTGTAATAATCCTGGAGTATAGTCTCTCTTGCCAGGCTTTCAAACTGAGTTCTCATCTTGTATCTGCTTAGGAAGGCTTCACAGGAACAACTAGGTTACCTCCGTATATCACCATCAATCCATGATTCCCAAACACCTGGTGTGCATTAATTACTTAAGTTTAACATGTCATAATTCCCAGTCTGGATTGCATTCTGAGGATAAGTATCTTATCCTCATTAGTGCTTCAGTGGATTTTCACTGCTTCATTTTGAGCAGGTATGCATAACAGTAAATAACTGACAGTGGAGACAAGAGTTCGAGAAAAGTCCCTAGCTCTCTAGTATGAAAAGTTTTTTTTTTTTTTTTTTTTTTTTTTTTCCCCATAGTCACCACATTCACAGTGCTACCAGGTAAGTAATTCCATTAACAGAGAAGAAAGGAGGTTAAATAACCTTGGGTAAATTTTCAGAGCTGCCTCACATCCAAGACCACATGGAATGAATAAGATTTGGCTATTCAGGCTTTGCAAATGCATGTAGGGGGGCGGAGGGAGGAAAATAGGGATCATAACAAGCCATAGTTCTTCCTGACTTTAACTTTATTTGGAGTTTTATCATGTACAATAAAGATAGATGTCACCCCAGGCTTCTCTGCGGCAATGTGAATGCTAGGGCACCAGGGGAATTTGATCTCTGTTATCCTAAACATCCAGGTGCATACCTTAAAACTTGTTACGATGGTTTCAGAGGTCGGCGTGGCTTTAAAATTCTGCAAAAATGTCCTGTGTCATTTTGTATCCCTAAAGAGTCTAGCTCTCTTTCTCGAAGGAGGTCATGAGGCTCTCTTAGGTGCTGTCTAATATCTATCCAGGTCAGGAGGATATCTTGCTATGGAATAAATGCCTGTTTAGGAACAATTAGATCCCACCTCAATTGCAAAGGAATAATGCCATGCAAATGTATTACTCTGAAGAAAGGTCTGTTCTTTCCAAACAAAAAATCCTCAGCTGTAAATGTAGAACCAGAAGACACTTCCAGATTTCATTATTCTATCATCAGCCTACATGTATTTAACTTTGCATTTGTCAACAAAAGAGGTAAAACATTCCACAGAGTATTTGGCAGGAAAAAAAAAAAACAACCAGCAAAGCACAGACTGGCAGGTAGAAGTCTGAACAATGATAATCTTTTTTCAGACATACACAGAAATGCTAATATGACAATCTTGTCTCTGATGTAAAGGTTATATATGTGTCTTTTTAAAAAAGTTTAGCCAAATTCCTGTGACCTCCCATTATCAGCAAGTGCTGTGTAATTGCCCTTGTTTTCTAGAAAAAAGGACAAAAATTGCTCTCTTGAGCATTCATTTAAGGTCAGATAAGGGTTTTGGTTTTGGTTTTGTTTATTCTAGATAAAATTTTAACTAAGAAAACTAAGGCCTCTAACATTATCTTAACATTGTAAGGTTAAAGAGAAAAAAAAAGAACTATGACTTTTTGTACTAATAAAAAGGCTCTTCCAGACTGTAATATAAAAATCTCTCCTCAGACCAAGTAAAGTAGGAATTCATGGATGTATTTTCAGCTAAAGCAAAATAATGGGACTCAGTTGAGACTGCTGGAGTTTGATATTAAAATAATTCTTCCTTATTAATGACCATTGCACAGTGAACATCTGTTCTTGCTGAGGATCTGACCCAGTCAGTTATGCCAGAGGAACAGTTTCCTGGCATACTGGTGGTTGTTTAGAAATATTGGAGATCAGAAAGCATGAAAAGCCTTTAAAGATCTCTAAGGGAGCGAAGGTATGAGGGGGAAGCATAGAGCTAACAGTAGCTGGCAAAAACATTTCACAACACCTGGAAGGGAAATGCATGTGGGATGAATAACAAAAGGAGCCTTTTTTGATTTACCCATTGTAATTGTGTGTTACTGCTCCTCTTATCTTCGGGAAGGGGACTCAACTGACCGTGGAACCAAGTAGGTATTCTTTACTCTTGAGCCTTTTCTGAGTTGTTCTTGTTTGGATTTTAACATTGTTACTCTTCCTCTTCCTCCTAAAATTAAAGCAGAATTTATCCCATGTGTTAGTATTCTTTACATGCTCCTTTGATATGCAATTAGACAGTTTAAGTGTAAAAACATCCTTATTCATAGAAGTTCCTAAAGAATTTTAACTCCACAAGAGCAATTCCATGCTGAATTTGTTTGGGACCTAGTATCTACTCACTTATGCACTTCAATAAGCTTTGCATAGTCATTATTAGGTTTTACAGCCATGCTTGGACAGTTTGAAGGGAACTAAAACTCCTGTGGAGGTTGTTGTTTAAGTTCCTAAGAATTTCTATTCTGTCAGAGTTAGAAAGGCAGAACTAGGGGCAAAAGGATAATGTTATGCAAAAACATTAAAAGGAGTCTTAGGCAATGTTTCTGTACTAATTTGATCTTCCTAAATGGTTCAGAGCTTGTGTTAAACTGAATAGGTAAAAGGAATTAAATGAAGATTTCAGTCCTCTTTGGAATCTGTTTGCTCTAGATGTTGACAAGGATGGAGTTATGCCTATTTTCATTGGTAGAACCAACTCATGAAGTTAAGGTAGAATAATGCTTGGCTTGCACCTCAGTTCTTCAGTACTGGGACATGAATAGTAGAGAAAGACAGTAAAATCAGAGTACCTGCTCAAGAACTTGCAAAGATACCTTGTGAAGAACAAAATGTGAAGAGCAAAAATGTTAGACTTGAGGAAAGCAGAATACAACACAGTTGCCATGCAAAATACAAAGCCTAATAGACCTCTCTTTAGCAAAGACAGCCATCAGGATGCACTTGTCAAATTGGACTTACTCTATTCTAAATATGTATATATATATTAATGCCTGATAGCCTTGGATAAGCTGAGCTCTTTTTTTTCAAGGAGACATAGTAGATGAATCCCTTCAGTTTCATGTTTTTATTATAATTCATGTTAGAATCATAAAATCATAGAATCATGGAGAAGAGAAGACTGGGAGGGGGCTGATCAATGTATACAAATATCTGAAAGGAGGGTACCTAGAGGATGGGGTCAGACTCTTTTCAGTGGTGCCCAGTCACAAGACAAGAGGCAATGGGCACAAACTGAAACACATGAAGTTCTAGATGAATATGAGGGAACATTACTGTAAGGGTGACAGAGCGCTGGAACAGGTTGCCCAGAGAGGTTGTGGAGCCTCCTTCCTTGGAGATATTCAAAACCTGCTTGGATGCAACCCTGTGCAACGTGCCCTAGTTGACCCTGCTTGGCAGGGGGTTGAACCAGATGATCTCTGGAGGTCCCTTTCAACCATTCTGTGATTCTGTGATTTCATCTGGAAAAGATATCTTAAGATCATATAGTCTAACCTTTAACCTAGCACTGCCAAGCCAAGTCCATATTGCCAATCTTGTCCTGACATTAGTTTGTGGAGTAACCCTAGTTGCTCTGTGTATAACCCGAAGGCAAATATAGTTTAAAAATCATTATGATAATTGGCACCAAATAATTTTGAGAGACAATCTCTTTCCTGAAAAAAACTTCCACTTCAAGTTCAAGCAATCTAACTTCCTTACTTTTATGTCTTATAAGAAATTCCGAGAGAAGGCTGCTGCTGTGTCATTGAAAATCAGGTTTTTGCAGTTGTTAAGTCTTTGGCTTTCATTCTTTGTTGCTCAGAATTAAGAATTTAGCTACTAAAATATTTCAAAGCTAAAAAGAAAAAAAAAAAAAAAAAAAGCTTTTGAAAGTTTCAGAGCAATTCTGAAAGGTACAGGAGAGGGCTAGGATGTCAAATCCTGTGAACATTTGTCAGCACCTTTTAGGTTCTTTCAAAACTCCACTTCTAGGGCATATACATGTATTTTGTATCTTGATGTTTGCTAATATCTTAATCCTAAAGAGCTACCACTGAAGGTTAGTACACTATTGTAAGTAAGATTTTAAGAAGATTTGTCCATAGGCATCAAGTTTATAGGCATCAAGATGTTCTGCTCAAACCATTTTATTATGCTAATTTTGCATTATACTTCTAACTGTTCCTGAAGCTGTGGGACTAACAATATAGCACAGTGCACAGATGAGAAAGGTCACACTTTTTGAAACATGTACAGAAGGTTTTCTTGAACCAAGTACCAGTCATAGTATCTTTCCAGTGTCTCTAGACTGGATTGGAATGATTTACACCTGTACAATGTCTAGTGGGGAAAATCTCTCTCACAATTTAAATTGCTTGACCTTATCACAAATTCTTGGAAATTCAGAGACTTCTGATTACTTGTCTCCTAATTTGCCACCTTAGAGACACATAACCTTCCTGTATCTGAGCATTTGTTAATGAAAAGATCAATCTTGTTCTCCAGTCCAGCAACAGCACTTCATTTCTGCAAGTAATGCCCCTCATTGGAGTAACCTTGCACGATGGTGACGTAACAAACTGACTTCTCTCTTTGCCTTACCACTCTTGCTATGGTTAGACCTTTTAGACACATCAGAAGACTTTGGGGAGGTGAGAGTGAGTAAAGGAAAAAGAGTTATTCCCTTATGTTTCAGGGGTATACAAGACTGTCCTTGATAGATGTGTTATTTTTAGTAACTAATTTGTCGATTAAGCAGAATAATTTGTCTATTGGACCTGCATCCTTCAAAGTTCTCTTCTCATTTTCTGGTGCCTTACAAACTGAAGAATTCACATGCAGACATGAGTTCTAGCAAAAGGAAGCTTAGGATCCCACGGAATTAAAGCTTCTATGGAAAACCTACCCGTATATATTCTTTCTGTATTTTATCTGTTCTTTTGGAATAAGCAGAAAGACAAAAAAGACAATTAGTCAGTCATTGTCAATTCCAGGAATTAGTCAATGGAGGAGTGCACATGAATTGCAGATAGCTTAGCTCTCAGGCAAGATTTCAATAAAATCAAATCATGCCCAAACAATACTTTTTTTTTTTTTTTTTTTTTTTTTTTTTTTTAAACAGGCAATCAGAAAGAATCTGACCCAGAAGTTGTTCTGATAAAATCCAAGGCACTTGAAGAAGGTGGCAGTACTGGGAAAGCAGCTTGTTTGGCAAGGAACTTCTATCCAAAAAATATCAGTTTGGACATGTTAACAGCTGAAGTCATATATGAACAGTCTCCACCCGTTATGACATCAGAGGGGACATACAATACTATTAAAGTGGTGAATGTGGCAAAAAAATCAGAGGTATCCTGCACGGCCAAGTTCAAGAACAAAAATTTTCCAGCCAATGCAACGTCATCAGGTACAAATTTGTGGTAAAACTGCAACTTATTTCTGGAGGCAGTGTCTTCCAAGACTTGCTATTTCTTTTTTTTTTTTTTTTTTTTTTGAAAAAAAAAATAAAGACACTTTTTTTTTTTAATTTTTAAATTTATATTAACTTATGATTAAATACTTCAACATATAGCAGAAACTTTCTAGAACACAGTTTAGAATAGCTTTTCTAAAACCAACAAAAAGTAAAAAAAATATATTTTTTTCTTAAACAACTTTTTACATTTTTGCATTGCTTTTCCCATTATGCAGCTCATTCAAAAAAAGTAAAAACAAAGCAAGTCAAAAATTTATTTCGTCCAACTGTACTGAGATTTGTTTTCCTCAAATTAATATTAGTGACCTGCCTGCTTAGCCTCAGACTGTATCACTCACCTGATTCTGTGGGAAAAGTAATATGAACACTGTCTTTAATCCTCCTTACAAGTCAGATTTTGTTTATGCTGTCTTTTCTTTATCATGCTATAGAAAAGGTGGTGGAAGAACCAATAACAGCAAATGTTTGCAACACCACAGACATCTCTTCAAAAGGTTAGTTAACTAAAGGGATTATAAAGTTATGTTACTATGTTGGGGATAAAAGCATGGAAATGTATTTTCTCAGGGACAGAGAAATCAGAATACCATGTATTCATTGTATTCATTAAACATAACCTGCTTTTTCTGGGTAACTATTTTAGTAAAAGACAATTTTTGTTATAGTTACAAAGTATCAGGAGGGAAAAAAACAGTGGTCAATGGCTCTATGTCCAGGTGGAGGCCGGTGATGAGCGGTGTCCCTCACAAGTGTGTCTTGGGACTGGTGCTATTTAACATCTTCATCAATGACATAGATGATAGTATTGAGTGCATCCTCAGCAAGTTTGCAGATGACACCAAGCTTTCTGGAATGGTTCATACAACAGAAGGAAGAGATTCCATCCAAAGGGACTTGGACAAGCTTGAGAAGTGGGCCCATGATAACCTAATGAGGTTTAACAAGTCCCAGTGCAAGGTGCTGCACCTGGGCCAGTGCAATCCCAGACAGGAGTACAGACTGGGAGAAGAAGTCATCGAGAGCAGCCCTGAGGAGAGAGACTTAAGGGTTCTGGTGGATGAAAGGTTCAACATGAGCCAGCAGTGCGCACTTGCAGCCCAGAAGGCTAACTGCATCCTGGGCTGTATCAAAAGAGGAGTGGCCAGCAGGTCGAGGGAGGTGATTGCCACCCTCTACTTTGCCCTCATGAGTACCTGGAGTACGTATCCAGTTCTGGGGCCCCCAGCGTTAAGGAAGATGTAGACTTGTAGAGCAAGTCCAGAGGAGGGCCACAAATATGATCAGAGGGCTGGAGCACCTCTCCTACGAAGAAAGGCTAAGAGAGATGAGGATGTTTAGTCTGCAGAAGAGAAGGCTCTGGGGTGACCTTATTGTGACCTTTCAGTATTTAAAGGGGTCTTTATTATATAGATAATGATAGGACAGGGGGGAATGGTCTCATCTAAATCTATCCTCTTAGTTTTAGACATTAGGTGGAAGTTCTTCACTGTAAGAGTAGTGAGGCACTGGAAAAAGTTGCCAAGAGAAGTTGTGGATGCCCCATCCCTGTAGGTGTTCAAGACCAGGCTGGATGTGGCCTTGGCCAACCTGATCTAGCACGTGGGTTGGGGTTTTATGATCTTTAAGGTCCCTTCCAATACAAACCATTCTATGATTCTATGAAAATCCAATATTGACAGATACTCTCCGCCTTTGTTGTTGCCATGTTTCTCTGTCATCTTTTCTTTTACAGCCATTTCTCTCCTTGACACTATTGTCTGTGTTTTTTTTTTCACTTTCCACCAATGTCATGACATCCCACTCTAGATCATGATCTCTCCTATCTTTTCTCTCTCACTAAGGAGATATCAAAACAGAGAAAACAAACATGCTGTCCATGGCTGTGTTGGGTTTAAGAGTCCTGCTGGCAAAAAGTATTGCCTTCAATACACTCATGAGCATCAAGTTGTTTCTTTTCTGAGGTAAGGAAATACATTGTTTCATCTGCAGAAAAATTGGAAGTACGTGCCAGTAATGACTACTTGTCTTTGTGTACTTCTCAAACCCCACAAGGAGTGACATCTGTTCATCTACTCCTGATTCCATTAATAAATGCTGTAGGTTTATGGAAACAAGCAAACAACAAACAAACAAGCAAACAACAACAACAAAACCAACCAACCAAAAAACCACAGCCTTTTCATGAATCCATAGCTCAGTTCTAGGTTGCTGGTCCCCAGATTTACTTTGCAGCAAGCTTGCTTTGACAGAACATCTCAGGTTTTATCAGAAATGCTTAAGAAATATCTTAATGACTGTTTCATCTGGCAGAACATGAGGGCTAGAGAAAAATCAAGATGAATAAGGAATCAAAAGCCAGGCTTCCAAAACACAGTCATGTGAAGAGGTAGCAGGAAAGAGGAGGAGGGAGAATTTTTAAATTAATATAACCAAAAGTCTCACAAAAGACTATCCAGATTAAGCTTTGTAAATCTACCTATCTTGATCTAACAGTAATCACACAACGGCACATTTCATTAAATATAATGGCACCTATATGCATTAAAAATAATTTAAAACATACTCTTCTTTGTCAGGCAAAGAGGTATCAAGGCAGAAGAAAGCTGAGAAACAGCAGGAGAGAGCAGCTACCAGCAGTACAATTTGAAGAGATGATGTTAAATCTGTTGACAACAACCATCTAGAACACAGCACAGCACCATCTCCTTAAGACATTTCAGAGTGTGGACTCCTGCCTGGATAGTTTATGTAATTTTTAGAGTTGTAATTGCTTTTGCTATTTCTTGTTTTCTGTGAGCAGAGGAAAGTATTTTTCCTCATCTGTCAGCTAAGTAGAAATTGATCCTTCCACTTTTCTATCCTTTGCATGGAAGCATCCAACATACTTTGATAGTTCTGAAAAAAAAAATTGAAACCTCACTATCGATATATGAACTTTTAAAAATACCTTTTTACAGCAATGTTGCATTATTCTGTAGAACTGATATTTTACTTCTGAGAGGCACAGTGGATGTCATTTATATATATATATATTTTAAGATATCTTTAATAACCATAATTTTCTAGTATAGATGAGAAGAGCTGCATTGGATCCGAAGGGGTGCACTTCAACCAGATGATGTTCAACTGTAGTAACATTTTTATTTACATTTCTGTATTTAATTTTTATCTTTTCTGCAAAGGGTATGACATCTGCATTTTATATCACTGTAGCGATTATCAAAATAAAATTTTATTACACCAAAATGCTGTGGTTTGTGCTTGCTTTTTCATCTGAATTTGTAATAGAGATTGCTGAAATCCAGTTCTAATGACCAGTGAGATTAGAAATGCATTGTTCATAACCTAGATTTACTGTTGACCGAATTTGTCTTTTCTAGGGCTTGCACAGGGAAGTGGAGGGGCTCCTTGACTCATTAAAGAGATACAGAAGGGGACATGAATCTTAGATTTAGGGGATTTGAAGGACATTTTGTCTTTCAGATCACTATAAAGAGAACTCAGCATGATATTTTGGATCACAGCAGAGAGACATATGCCTAAGGAAAAATCAATGAAGAAGCAGGTTGATAGGAGCATGAGGAAGAAAAATATAGGTATCAGAAGAGATGAGAACATGTTTCTTTTTTTCCCACTCATTAATACTAGGAAGGGACCAACAGGAAATAACGTATGATGGTTTGATGGAGTGATACAGTTTCTACAGCAACTTGATTATTAGTCAAAAAGACCCACAACACACACATTCCCCAACTCATCTTACTCTCAGAAGCAACGGGCAGGATGCTGTGGTTAACACCTATGACTAACTTGCAAGATGCAAGGCAAACTCCCCCTCGTTTCGAAAAACAAGTTAACCACATCCTGAAGGGAAAATGACATTTTTCAGATACTGCCTGAGTTACTGCTAGCTTCAAGACAGACTCTACAAAAAGTGCATAAGAAAGTCCATTTAATTAACCCTTGTCAGGTTAATTGCAAACCCCTAGATGAAGACTCTCACCCTACCCAGAAGATGAGTGAAGTTTGCACAGTAAATCCAAAAACAGTAATTTAAAAAAATTATTTTAAAATCCATTCCACCCCCATAATGTAAAATAGAAACACTTGCTTGTTCATATTTTTATCCTGATTTTCTGATGATACCCTCAACTTTTTTGTGTTGCACTCCACATCATACATTTTCCCAATCTCTCAGGCAAGGATATGACTGGGAATACTGTTTCTGGTTCTCTGTGCAGGTCAAGGAATGTCATTTTTCTGGGTTGTCTTTGGTTGTGTCTGAGAACTTTGACTGAATGAAAATCTTGTAGCAGTGCACAAGCAAAGAACGGGATCTACAGATGTCTAACTACTGAGTGACATAGTACTCATTCATACAGAAATATATCAGCTGGATATATTGGATATATCAGCTTGATATATAATAGTGACATCAGTCACTATTGTTTTAAATACATATTCATAAAGTTACAGGACACCAGAACCCTCATTTCCATCATGAAGACATACATGACCTGTGTGACACTTCTGTAGTCAGTTATCTCATATTTCTCTGCACCACTGGCACAGTGTTGATCAGAGGGGAACACTTATCCCCTCACTATTCTTCCAAAATATCAGTTGCCCAAGAACCTATTATCTAGGTCTCGGTCAAATGGAGAGAAACTTCCGTCTTTGAGATCAATTTTGACAGAATCTTCAGCTCTGTGAATTGTGAGGTGGAAGTACTTGTCCCTCAGACTTTTACCACAGTCTATCACTCAACCACTGTGACTACAGTTAGCTTTCATTGGAGTAATCTAGACTAGTGACCAGGCCTATAACTCCCCTGAGACTGCTTTTCAGGTCAGACTACATGAAATAAGAGGACTGTGTCACAGCTGTCCAGTATGATGTTTCTGAGACATGGTTCCAAGGGTGGATATTGAAGACAATCAGAGGCAACCCAGCTACCCTACTGTAGTAAAACCTGGTGCAACCTGTTTTTCTCATTTCCTCTGGAGAGAAAAAAATAAAAAATGTTGGCCTTCTTCTGGAAGGAAGGGATTAGCTTCCTTTGGGAAGAAGTAGACTGTGATGCCTTACATTAACTGGGGACAAAAGAGAAAAAGGGAAAAAACTGCTTAAAATGCTATAATTCCTTTAACTACTTTAACTGTTTTATCTGCCCTTGAGGAAAAGAGAGGTATCTGTACCCAATGAAGATTTCTGGCACCAGCCATTGTATAGAGAAGAAAGATAATGGGAAAAGCAATACCTTATTATAACACACAATACAGGTGGAAGAAGCAGATATATATGCAGACACACAATTCCTCTTCAGCTCTTAAACTTCTATGAATCTACTTCTAGGTAGATTATTCTGGATCTTTTATCAGGACCATGTCCCCTCTCAGAAGCTGTCTAGGTCTAGTTATGGTATGGGATATCCCTTTGGCCAGTTTGGGTCAGCTGTCATGTCTGTGTCTTGTGCAGCTTCTTGTGCATTCCTTATCTCCTTGCTGGCTGGGTGGTACCAGAAGCAGAAAATTCCTTGACTACATGCAAGCATTGCACAGCAATAATTAAAGCATTGGTGTGCTATCACCACTATTTTCAAAAATAAATAATAAAAAATAAAATCCAAAACAGCATCATACAAGCCTCTATGAAGAAAATTAATTCTATTCCAGCCCAAGCCATGACAATGTGCATATGGGAAAACATGTTCAGCCCAGGTTAAGGCTAGTAGCTATTCAGAGTTATAAATGATCATATGGACAGCACAGAAAATGGTGCAAAAATTGCGAGTAATGATGTGGTTTGACCTTTCCCTTCTCTCCATCTGACTACACAGGTTTTGTCTAATGGAGTATTATTCAAACATGAATCAGGCCTGGGTATATGAAATTGCTCCCAACACTACTGCTGGTTTAGAATAAGTACAACCTCCAGAGAGCCATTCACCCAAAATGAAAGCTTGCTCTTAAGACTCTCCAATGTTCTCTGTCTACCCAGTGTTAAAGCCTGGAAATAGTATCTTCCTACTTATGCAAATGCATTTATTCAAGATAGAGAGTCTGTGGTCTTCCCTCTTTCTTTCTTTGATTGACATTAATGCTCATGGCTATTTGCAATGGTGCATTAGTCCGCATTCTCACCTCAGGCACTAAAGATCTCACATATAGGTCTGGGTAATGCTAAGTCACACAGCAAAGGTACCTATGTCACCGAGCTAGGGAATTTTCCTCTTTGTAGGTAAAGGTCATGCACGTTTCAGGCTAGGGATCTTAGTGGCTTGCAGTGTGTATTTCCTCACCTCTTCTGAGCTATTGTGGTTTTTGTTTTGTTTTATTTAAAGTTTTTGATTCACATCCTTTCTCCTTTTAACATGGACTTAAGAAAATGGAAGGTGTTCATTCAGTTATACCAAACAACAGTGTGTCCATAATAAGTAAAGCTATAGCTGAAGTATGCTATAAGTTCTAGACGTTCATTGTGGTGAAAATGGCATAGGGCATGGCTTCCTAGGTAAGTTTGAAAGTAGCTGTGATTTTCTTCCTTGGGAAATATTCCGTTAATAAAATAAAATAAAATAAAATAAAATAAAATAAAATAAAATAAAATAAAATAAAATAAAATAAAATAAAATAAAAAAGAATAAAATACCATAATATAAAATAAAAAAAAAAACACCAAAGCAATGAAAACTAATAAGGCAAGCCCTTTGCTAGTGAACTTTTACACAATTCATTTGAAATGATTGCTCAGAAATGTTTTCTCTTCTTCTCTGCTACATGTCAGCAAGGGATTTTTTTCTTCCATTTTCTGTCATTAATTGCATTGCTCTATGAAACTTTCTGCTTGCCACCCACAGACCAAATTGGAGCCTTTTTCTCTAGAAAAAGGGAAGAAAAAAAATGATGTTCATGCTCTGTTTTCTTCTTATCCAAAGCAAGCTGTTTACCTGCATTTCTCCTTCTCTCTCACTCTTAACAGTACCAAGAGACAGAATGACACTTTTAGAAAAGAGACGAAGTTGCAGCATAGAAAGCTGCATCAAAACAAATTGTTATATCTGCAAAGGCTACAGAGACTCATATCTACAAATGTTAACTTTTTTCCTCGTCTATCACAGAAGAAAAATGTTTCACCTTTGTATATAGAAATAGTTCTAGCACATTATTCATGCCTCTCTAAACTACTTAGGAATTGTTTCCCTCCACTGACTGTAGTCTGGCAAACAGTTGGGTTACAGCTAGAAGAAACACACCAGAAGAATCCTGCTCTGCATGACAATTCATGACACCAAAGGGAAATATGTTTTTGTGAGTTCAATCTGGAGAGAAGGATGCTCATGTCTGTGCTCAGTGCAAGATTATTGTTAATTTAATGGATGCAATAATTCTAGAAAAAAAAAAAAAGATGCAAAGGGCTTTCAGTCTCTCTCAAAATAATGATTTGATTGCTCATTAAATTAGATAGTCAGACAGCATCAGAAGTCAGAGGTTCAAACTCAGATAAAAAAAAAAAAAAAAACAAAAACAAAAAACAAAAAACAAACAACAGAAAATGTAAAGTATACTGTCTAACACCTGTATGTCCTTTCTTGCTGAGCATGTCAAAATGATGATAGCTCTCTCCTGTGTTAGGGGACAATAAATGCACCCTAAATAAATATATTTCCAAATGACCAAATGGGACAGTGTCATGTACAGCTAGAAAACCTGAATAGCAATGAGAATGTTTTGCATTTTCTCTCATATTTCTAGTTATATGTGGGGAGAAGGGTGTTTACACCTCCACTCTGTACATTTCTCATTGCTACAGGAATGTATGGCAACCCCCTATGCAAGGTGCTTTAGATGTCTCCTAGGTTTCATCTTGTTACACAACTCAAAAGATGGTAAAGCTTCATAGTCAGCAAGGCTCTTGGAGCACAAGAAAGGACTCCCAGTCTGATTTCTTTTGTGCCTTGGCTTTCTTAGAGCTAGCAAAAATGTCACAGAAAGGGAGAAGTTCAGGGACAACATCAACATATTTGTACTCAGGCTGCAGAGAAACACACTTAGATCGACCTCAAACAATGCATGGAACTTTGTAACTTGCAGTAAGCTGCTTCAACACAAATATTTACTCCAGTCATATGAAAAAAAAAAAAAAAAAAGAAGAAGAAATGCCTATTTGAACCCCTTTCGAGCACACAACTCAGTGCCATGAACAAGCCTCAGTCTTACCTTTGCAGAAAATCTTGTTTGTTTGTT